CGTAACCCCAGAAAAGTGGGCCGCAAAAATACATTGGATGAAATGTCTACTCCTATACCTCGTCTGTGGTACTGTGAATATATGTCAAATTTATCAAAGTTGCGTTGGGAAAGTGAGCCGGTGTTTGGCTGGTAAATCGAAAAAATTCTGGAAGCAGGTTTTGTACAGTTAGTTTTTTACATAATATAGATAAATAACACATATATGAAATTTTAAAAATCATACTGTGATAAGTAAGTTGACAAAAAGATTCTAAACTGAGGAAAATTAAAGGTAAAGCCTCGCTAAAAGGTAGGTGGTTTACAACATACCAACGCCTGATTGAAATATTGCGTAGATTAGCTATTAGAGGTTAAATTTATACACGTTATGTATAGATTAAATCGAAGGTCCTGGTATATACAAAGCAAACAAGTTAATAATGAATCCCATTAAAAGCCTAAGACGTAAAACCGATGTTTAATGAAAAGCTATTTCTCGTTATAAAAGAACTGTTGATTTTCCATTTTAAGGTTTAATATTTGAATACACGGAAGCAGACATTCCAACGGCCTTCACGTCGGCGTCTGGAAATATTTGTACTAAAGACGGTCATTCGGTCGATTAATGAAAGCTTTCGCAGAGAAGGAAAACTCCATTACTCTATAGAAATTACGTCTCCACAATTAGTGACATAAAATCTTCCCTTGAAATTCGTTGTGTCAACCAAAAGGACCTACTAAATGATATTTCCCACTCCCCAGAGCTAACCTGTTTCCCAATTATACAAGTCGCGACACTTTAAACCAAACGAACCCATCAGACACGGTGCATGAAATGTATTTTACTGAACGGTCGAGGGAAACATTCTAATATTCGTGTTAGAGAAACGTTTCTCAGCGTTTGGTCCCGGAACTTACAGGAAAATGTTTTCCAAGATCGTATTCCCTAATAGCAACAGTGTATACGAGGGGTGGTGGTTCTGTTGGCGAGTAAATTCGAGTGTGGCAGAAGCGGGGAAAAGTTGAAGATAAAAGGGAACTTTGAAGTTCCGGAAGGTAAACGGGAGTTTTAAAGGCGATTTGCGACACAGAACCAGAGGGACGTGAAAGTTTATCGTTTCGTTGCTAGCTTGACGGATGGGGAGGGGGGTTTTGCGCGGAATCGATGCAAAACTTCCAGTTCGAAGTTGAAAACGTGCGTGTTGAACATCTCTATGCTGATCGTTTCGGTTAGGGAACACTTTGAAGTCGTTCGACAAGACGCCATCTTTGGTGGTTTACCAGTGACTTAAGATTCCTAACCACTACGACGGGACCGTTTTCTTGGAATTTCTTCGATAACTTCACGATATTTCGACATTTTTATAACAAGTATCTGTTCTTATTGATATCTAGTAATGGAATATAAAATTGATTTATAGAGGGTGTCCCAAAAAAATGGGACAATCCGCAGAATGGTAGCCATTTTATTTAATTTTCTTTTCTTTCAAGAAAGAAAGTATTTTTTTAAATTCTGTTAACGCAAGATTATAGTGCCTATTGTGCCATTAAACTTTTGTTGGTAACATTTTTTTCTATCTTTTATACTTAAGTGTTTTGCGCGAAAAAGTAGGAGTGTCTATTTAATTTTGAGGTTAGTTTTCACGCCCTTATGGGGCGATTAGGCATGAATGAAACATATCGTTATTCGTGTCTTCAGTGAACTCGACTTCAGTGAGTCAGCCTTCGCAGTGTTCTCTTGTTAGATCTTGAAGTAGGTATATAAAAATATATAAATTTATTGGTAGTTTTACTCCTGAAGTGATGTTATGGTCTGTATTAATACAAAAGGACCTTCTTGTTGATTTTTTTCTCAGCAAATACTAGCAAGAACATAATAAAGTTTTCCTATCCGAACCCAAGTACAGTAAATGATCGATGAGTGTTTGAAAGCTCCTCGGCACTGACAAGGAGAGGTCCCCACGTGTAACGCTGACTGTTTAAGGAGGTTCAACACAGTGATAGAGCTTGGAATTTTGAAAACAATGATATTTGTTTCAGCAGCATATGGCCATTAGTTTATGAAATATTTAATGTTCAGTACCCAAGAGCCTTCGAGCACTTATCGACGATTTAATTTAAACAAGTATTAGAACTGTTCAATCTAATACACTCATTAGATGCATAAATGAGAATGCAGGTTTTTAAATTAACGAGAACGAAGTTGACAATAAGACTACGATTCGAGTAACAAATTCTTTTTAGTTTGATATACGTTTTAACTTGTCTTTGTCCCGATAAAACGTACATCACGCACGAGGAGTGAAGCAACAAAATTCCGAATATTCCAGCTCCGATACGTGGTCCCGTCGCTGGAATTTAATAGCTCACTGGGCAAAAAAGGAACGAGCCACGCTATATTAAATTGGCTGAAAGTTCCCAGATAACAGTAATATCGCAATTTCGTCGGGGGCTATAATATCGACACGTCGTTCCATATAACGTTCAGGTTATTCGCCGTACGATCGTTCAATTTTTCTTATCCTCATTTTTTCTACCTTATTCGAAACCTGTTATTTTAATCGAGACACAACCCGCGTGATCTGGGAAGCTCAATAATCGGAACGTATACATCGATAGAACTGATGGTACAAATGAATATGGACTGATTCCCCTTGCAAAGGCAAATGGATAATATAAAATGAACTTTTTTATTCAAAGCTTCGTTCCTGAGAAAATGAATTTGCGTGCTATTTATAATAATAAGACTTCATTCAGGTTTCTGTTCCTTTTCTACTGTTTCTATTTATTGTAAGCACTAATTACAGTCGAATTATTGTGTTTCAAATGAATATTCGAAGACGATTTTTGGAAAATTATTTGTGGCATGGAAAAAATTGATTTAACAATTTTAACTTATTTGTGTACAAGAAGTCAACCAATATGTATTTCTATAATTCAATATTTTCGTAAAGTGTTTGATTTAACTCGATCACTTAAAAAGTATTTGACAAACTAATCGTCTTCAGTACATTTTATTCTTTTTGACCACTCTAAAAATATATAAGTTAACGTTAATACACAGTTACCTTCATTTTTTCAGAAAGACTGCACGTACTAATATTACTAATCCGCCATATTTTTATACGTTTGTCAAAATAAATAAACCACCCTGTATATTCAGTGCACTGTTTTATGTGTACTCCTTTCTCAACTCTTTCAAAGCCTTGTTAAGGAAAAGGAATGTTTTTTTATCGAACGTAATTACAAGATTATTAATAGGTATAAGGATTAATTTACGGTTCAGTAGATATGTTATACATCAATTGGGGAAATAAATGACATTCAGGGCTGGATGCGATACCAAGATAGAACGCAACATTTCTCATATCTCAATAGACTATAGCTGCAATCTCAGTTGCCTAGACAAATGTGCTAAACGAACGTATTTGGCCGCAAACAAAGCTCAAAATCCGTGGCTCAGCCGGCCAGACAAATGTCTGGGTCGGTTAGAATGTCTGTGGTCGACGAGGAGGTTGGAAATCCGTGGTAATATAAAACGACTATCTCAATGGTAGATTACTTCGAAGAATCTTGCAGCCCCCTAACTACAAGGAGGGACAAAAGTATCTGTGCAGTACAAATGTAGAAATTGAAAGCGCTGTGCATAATTTCCTTATGATTAATAATATTTAAATACGTGTACACCTACAGTGGCAGAAAAAAGTATTCAAATACTGGTGGTACTTACTATCGATTTATACCACTGTTTTCAGTGTAAACCTAAATTCATAATCATGTCCATCAGACTATGCCATTGACAGAAAACTAAATTAAAATGGTATAATTGGAAGAAAATAATTCTGAACTCAGTTGTGTACTGAAAACAGCATTTGCAATTGATAATTAGAATCGTTGATGTAAAAATACCTTTTTCCTTCTCTCATTGTATGTAATACGTTCGTATAAACATTAGGAATAATAAGATGAAAAATTGAATTTTCACTGTTTATACGACTGCAACTGGTGTTAATTTAAATGGATCCAGACGTGATCGTGTGTGCAATTTCCGCAGACGTCAGTGTCGTGGAAGTTAAGCGGTGTCCCTCGTAAGCGTTAAAATCCTTCACCGTGTGTCTACTGGTGTTAAATCCTCGGCTGGCGAATGCAGGGTCACGTTGATTCTTTCCTGTTCCGTATAAAGTGTTCTTCGTTATAAAAGTGCTGACTCGAAAGAGCCACGCAGTTGACAAAATTTTATTTCTTTACCGTATTTTTATTTTTGGACTCACTTGGATCACATGGATTTCGGACTCAGGCCATAGAACACAGTATTTTCCGAGCTCGTATTAATACAGGATAATAAAACAGAGTAATAGTTGTAATAAAACGTAGCCTGCGAAAAATATCCAATATAGGTAATATCGAGCGAAGGGTAGACGCAGTAGGATATGGGTGCGTTAATCCTTTACAACCCAATTTTTGTTTCATGACTAAAGAAAATTATATAACACGAAATTAGCGAACATTAACCTTTGGATATGAACCAACAATTAATTTACAATTTTTAAGCATTTTGTTTTCTTAATTTTATGGTTCATATCCGCTCAAGGATATTAACAAAGTTAAATGGGTTTTAGTGTAATGTGAAATTGTCCTTTATTCCTAATTTATTGGGACCTACTGCACTAGTTTGGTTCATTCACAATAATGTGAAAACGTAAACTTATCGATCTGTTTTACACCGTGTTCTACGGCCTATTTACCGTGTTATACGAGCCACAATTCTTCCATCGTGGTGTACGAACCCGTGTTATACAGGTGTCTACTGTATCCTGCATCGTTCGAATAATTACGAATTCCTGTACATCCATAAAATAATATTCCGTAATTCTACCCTCAGCACTGCATGCAACAAAATGTTTGTTACACGTCAAAATTGACCCTGCATTCGTTCGCCGTATCCCCACCGTACAAAATTCACCCCCACCGAAGAGTGTCCAAATGCCAACAGTCGTCTACAGGTCAATCTGTACTCACTGTCGATCAAGATCAGTCTCCTGGTTACCACCCTGGCTTCCAGGGTGTTCGGCCTACACGGCTTTTGCTGGTCCCCTGAATTCGGGGCTGTGACCGTGACCGGCACGTTGCCGGTCGTAGCCGTGCCCTGATTCGCTTGCGGCTCACCGCTCGGCGATACCGCGCCATTTGCACTCTGTTCAGTCTTTTCCTTCTTCGGCTCTGCAACAGAAAAAAAAAAATGTCCAGACCGTCAGACCGATGAGAAACGATCTATAATTGGGCGCGCGATCCCCCCATCCTTCGTCCAATTGCCCCTGAGCTCGTTTAATCGGGTGCCTTTTTTAATTTTCGCCCATCTTTTGAGCTTCCGTTTTCGATACGAAGACGATTATCCTGCAAGGTTCTTTCCCGTGGACGTGGCTCGACGAGCGGATAGCCGTGGGTGTTTGTGTGTTTTGGAAACGAATCAGAGCGATCGATGGATCTGCCTGCTGCAGATCTTATGTCTTTCTGTGTATATGTACTTCTTTGGTGGTAGTTTTCTAGCAGTTTAGACCACGTCGAGGGTGCTTTCTAGGGGAGCAACGGGGTCGAGTGTTGAGTATGTATGGGTGGGTATGGAGAAAAATTTGTGGTATTTTGAAACATTGGTTTTAAATGGGGAAAGGAGTTTTTGACGATTCTGTAGATCGAGTCCTGAGACCGTGTTGCGTCGGAGTTTGATACCGATAATGTGGCGACATTCGTTTGTAATTGGACTATTGGACTATTGCAGCGAACTATTGGACTATTACAATGGACGTTAATACTGGTGAATTTACTCAATTTTCAAGTGATTTACTCACATGAAACTTATGCTGTTGTGCACAAGTTTGGGGCTAGAACTTAATCTTCTATTCTGTGAAAAATTCTGAACATTCAATAGAAATGTTTTCTGTACCAGTTTCTTCAGACATTAAACATATGCTAATATGTGTTCCCGAGATAATAAAACGTGAACCTAATTTTTTTCAATTAATTGTTTTACATGAAACTATACTCAAGTAACAATCAAAGTTTCATTGTCTAAATAGAAAAGAAAAAGACGACGAGAAGGGCGAATGAGCTCGTCCCTCTGCATTCGTTTATACCTTTAAATACACTTCATAGAAGTAAATATCGTTAGTCCTATTGAATTGTAATATTAATCGTTCTATACTGTTCGTTTCACTTTAGACCGGTTCATACACTGTCTATTCTGTTTCTTGCTAAGAAAACGTATAAATAATTGCAATACCTTTAGTACATCACATTTTAACCTAGTTACAGGTATAGAAACACATTTTCTGAATTCAACTTCAACATCGATTTAAATTTCAATTTAAACTTCGGTCCTGAAAATGTGGTACCGTAATAGCAGCTTCAGAAGTACATGACAGTTAACGGTAATGCCAACTTATATCACGTTCGCGTTAAGGAGGGACACTCAGGTTGAAAATCAACCAGCAGTTATTCTCCAGATAAAATTCCGCAAATATGTATTGTTATATTATTCTTCATATTGAAGTGAATGAAAGAATTCTTTCCACAATTATATAAAAAACGTAAAATATATACCTGTATCTCTTTTTTACCTATATCATACATAGATCGTAGATAAAACTTCAGCTTGAAAACTACATTTTTGTTGCAATACTAAAACTGGTAGTTGATTTTCACCCGAGTGCCCCTCTTAACACTGAAACTACCAACAATAAATGCACATCTACATCGATCGGTCTACAAACATGCAGAACTTCTGAAAATTTACAAATTTATAAATTAACTAATATATTCACTTTCGTATCGCAATAAAAGTTTGTAAAAGATCTGAGACAATGTATTATTATAACATTTTAATTACCGTTAGAATAGTGTACTGACAATACATTTACTTGTTTGGTAGTTCTAGTGTTAATAACACCTTGAACTGCATAATGTTTTTCTCATGCATTTTCTCCACACCTGGGTACTCATTTACCATCGAAAAATTACACAGTTAACAGACTGACTACCCTATTTCGAGCGAAAATGTCTCGCTGAATCGTTAAAATTCCGCTCGAATATCCTCGTATCACTTTTATTCCAAGTATTTCATTCACAACCGGCTTTAGTGCATGTCCACGAGTCAGGTTCGCGAAATATCCCGAAATTGCGACTTCACCCGGCCTCGAGGTCGAACAATAAACTCTCGCGCGTTTAGGATTTTCCGCGTAAACCACGATTTACGTTGCTCCCGTTGCCGTGACAAGCTTTATTGGCGAGGAAAAAAGAAACGTTACGAGTTGTGTATACAGTGCATTAGTTTCAATTAGGCATGTCCTCGTGGCATTTGTCACCACAGTTTCCCAGCTGAAAATCCGCTGCGGGAATCGTTAGACCGTATCCACTTTGTCTTGAAAATTACATTCGCGCGAATGTGAATCGTACAATAAACATTAGTTGTACCAATAAGCGTAATCCGTTATTCCTTTTTAATAGACCGGTAATGGAATTTAAATTCATAACACTTTTGTAACCAAATTCTTTTTTAGACAGGACAGCGTGTCTTAAAGGAGGATAAATATTATTGAAACGACACACAAGCTTCCGACTTCCTAGAATAAAATGTATACTGAGTTTGAGGAAATATACTAGATTACTTATTGGTACACTTAACACATTGGCAACTGACGACGAGGAATCTCGTTTTCGTAGGAAATGCGTTGGCGACCGGAAACAAGAACTCACACTTTCAGGCACATGAAGTATTCATTTATTATTTCCTAGATCACAGTATTTATCTTCCAGGCAAGTATTATTGCAACGGTGGCCCCACTACGATTCATATAAGAATAAGATAATAAGGAATTTATGCGTTCGAATAATTTTGTGGCTATCGTAAAACGTACGTTTATATTCTATATTCAGTAGTGTACCAAATCTCTATTCATAGCTAAATTGCTTTTCATCTTTAACAATACATTTCAAAATCTCGATCCTTATCCTATGGTTATAGTAATATTTCGTATATTTAAATCTCAAGTGGATATTTTTATTCGTCAATTATATACGATCTAGCGATTGAATACTCTCGTGAGCAATGTTAGAATATGACGATCGAAAAATCACCCTCTTATCCCTTTATACTCCAACACTCTTTAGAACAAACTCTTAGTAAAGAGTACTCTACCACTTAGTAAATTTATTTCAAGTACTGAAATAAATGTTAAACCGAATGTTAATTTGGCATAAATTTCAGTAACTCCTAAAACTAAGTGGTAGAAGGGTAGTTCTCCAGGAATATAATTTTATAATATTATGAACGTTCAGTAACTCCCAAAACTAAATGATAGAAAGCCCTTCGCTTATCTCAAATTTTCCTCTAGTGGAAGCAGAGTTTCCTCGTCGGGGTACAAACATTACTTTTCCAATAAAGATAAGTAAATAATTATAATTTAAAATAATTTCGTTTGTATTGTAACCCTTTCCGAGTTGAACTATTTCCTTCAAAAAAAAAAAAAAAAATATTTTGTTTGCATATAGTTACTTCTTGAATGCCAGAAAAATAGAATAGAAATGTACATTATTCGTTTTCTTTAAGTCGAAATGAACTAATATTTCACTGGTGCATATCAACATTTAAGGTTTACAGCGAATACATATACACTTGCCATGAAACTGCTTCTGTATCCAAAAAATTATTAACAATAAACTAACTCTAAAGAGTGGAGTCGTCACAAAAAATTCGAAAGCAAGGGGTTAAACAATTCCTAAATATTATTTTCAAGAATATATTCATACAACGACAAAAAACTAAACTATACAATACGATGTCATATATTGAATCTTCAGGTTAATAATGTAAGTTATAAATGCTAAGTAAATTAATGATTCCAAATGGAATCCTACGGTCGAAAAGAGTTAATAAATAGAACTTGAGTATCGCGATGACATATATCTCACCGTTACAAAGTCAACGGAGTATAAAAGGGGTTAACAGAGGAAACAATGAAACAAATATAAATTTCATGTTTTTTTTTTGGATTCCGAATACGTATTTCGAGATCGGTCGGTGGGAGGAGCAATTACCATTTCAGGTAACGGCAAACGTTCAACTCCGAAAATACAAAAGGGGAAACGAGCGAGCTAGAGAGAGAGAGAGAGAGAGAGAGCGGTGGTCCCGAGGAAGAGATTCGTCACGCGGTACGAAATCGGCCGGATAGAAATAAATCGGGCGATTTCGTTGCCAGATGCGGGTCCAGATCGTTGACCATGCCTCCCCCGACGGAGGCATCACTGCCTCCGTTGCACCACGTCCTCTGTTTTTGTCATACCCATCGCCGGGGAAACTCGCGAAACGCGTTTTCGGCCGCGTGAAACGTCACCGGTGACTAACTCCTCTGTTTTTGTGTCCGAGGAAATTTCGGTGGACGACGCGACGCCGTCGGCCGAACGTAAACATTTCTTCCGAAAGTTTGTTTCTTTTAAACCGTTGTATTACTCGCTTCAGATCGGTAGAACGGTAATAAAAACTCTCCGATGAACGTGAGTGTCACGAACTGAACTAATCTTGGCGTGTGTTGCTTGAAACGATTTCGAGTTTAACGCTCGAGAGAGTCCATTTAAGACACAGCTGTGTAAGATACGCTGGGGTTAATGAGGATTAACCCTTTTTGGTCCTGTGTCGAGACTGAGTATATGTTCAGTTTTATTTCAATCGCTATGTACTCTAGTAGTCTATTGTATACTTTGAAAATACAGTAGAGCTTCCCATATCCGAACTAATAGGGAGATATAAGTGTTCATATATAGGAATTTCTTGATAATAGAACAATCACATTTCTGATACTACACTCTATTTACTTAAAAAGAGATTAAGAAAATTGATAGCTTAAATATTCATGGATTCTAATCATAAATCATGCATCAGTTAATACTGATATCTATGTATAATACAACGTAGACAGTTTCTCACTGCATACATGTGCATGTTATTATAAAATAGTAAAACATGCAGATAAAAAGTTGGATACTAAAGGGAAAAATAGTTAGGAAACATTAATAATGCCTTTTTTGTATGCTGATTTCGTTAGATTAATTACTAGCTTTTTTACATATAATTTTTAATTTGAGTCGCGATACTACTCGTCATAGATGTTTGATTAATAATCATTAATAAAACAATACGCAAGTATATATTACATATAATATTTTCTCTT